CCTAACTGGGGCAGAGGGACAAGAAAGGACAGAAGCTAAGTAACCTCAGCGCTTCCTCATATCATTTCTCTGCCTATTTTTGAACAGAAAGGATCAAGTTACTACTTTAGAAAATAAGCAAAACAAATCATTAGTGATATTAATCATTGTCAGTTTATTTTCCCTCCTCTTTTTTATTTAGTTAGGTGCTGACATGTATAAGCTTTAAGTAAATTGAATGTCCACTTGTATTTTATTGCTCGTTACAAACCCTCAAACCACAGCAATAGTCACAGTTTATGTTAGAAACAGCAAAATCAATGTGAATTCTGCCGTTGACAATGATGGATGGAAGCCCTTACATACGATGTGCTCACAGTCTTAGAGAATCTGAGGTCCTGGGGCCTTGTGTGTAGCATTCAGGAGACAGGCGACGTGGATGACATTACCAGCAGCCACTTACCATGTGTTACCACTCACAGAATTGCCCCTTGTGGCTCATTTACAATGCTGTCCCAGATCTACTTCCTTTAAGAAATAAATCTAGAAACAGAAGTCTGTAGCTGTGGACCAAATGGCCTTCAGGTTTTTCTAAAGCTATCCTCTACTTCAAAAGCACCCCCATGGACTCAGAGCTGGGAACCAGAGCAAGAGCCTCATGATGCCCCAGGATACCTCAGGGACACCTGATAAGTCACTTCTTGCTTTGGGGGCCTGGTCTTCTCATCCATAAATAGCTCATAATGCCTATAATGCATATGTTGTCATGGTCAGCAAATATTTCTGAGCACTTGCTATTTATTGGATAAGTGTGACTTAGGAGCCCACTGTTCTTGAGATGTCAGTCATCCTTGCAACTATCAGCCTTATGCTGCAAAACCTTCACACGTTCAGGTCATGCTGGCTAATGAGGAAGATGATGTGGTTTCCACCTTTCTGTTAATCCCAGGTGAGTTTCTCCCTTCCTTCCTGTCTTCAGCAAGCACTCAGTCTAAGTTGCTTTATAAGCCCTGGGTGTGCGAAGATCCATGAGACAAATATCTCCTCCCTGAGGTGTTACAAAGTAATTATTCATGAAATAAACCCTAAGATGTGACCCTCTCTGATGATGGCGGTAAGAGAAGGGTGCCAGAGGTGGATCCTGAGATCTGGGCACCCAATTTTGTCCAGGGGTGAGCAGGAGAAGATGTCCCCAAACAGGTTCCATGTGTGTCAACTTCTGAAGAATGTATTGAAGACCATCAGAAGGGCACAGTGAAGGTGCCTGTCATCCCAGGCTCAGGTGGTCATGGAGCCTCATGGGGGTAAGAGGGCAGCAGGGAACAAAGACGGATCTAAAAGAGAAGTTTGTGAAATCAACTGCACATTTTAAACATTTCTTTTGATGCGTGATTTAGTCAGCTTTTTTTGCTGCTGTGACTAAAAGACCTGACCAGAACAATTTCAGGGGAGGAAAAGTTTCTTAGAAGGCTCATGGTTTCAGAGATCTTAGTTCATAGAAGGCTGGCTCCATCCCTAAGGGCTTGAGGACATTGTGGTGGAGGAGTATAGCAAAGGGAAGTGGCTCATATGATGATCAGAAGCGGAAAGAGAGGTCTCCACTTGCCAGATGCAAACATACACCCTAAAGTCAAGCCCTCAATTCCCACCTCCTCCAGCCACACCCTACCACTTCAGTTACCACTTCAGTTCATCCCTATCAGGGACTAATTCACTGATTGGGTTAAGACTCTTACAAACCAATCATTCCTCCTCTGAACCTTCTTGCATTGTCTCACACATGAGCTTTTGGGGACACCTCAAATCCAAACCATAACAACACAGATGATTTTTCTCAGTAATTGATACACTGGATAAAATAATAGAAGTCATACATTACCATTTCTGCCTATAGCTGATCTCTTTTTTTTTTTTTAAGAAAGAACATTAAAAAAAAAAACCTCATACATTTTTCCTGTGAAAGTTCAGCACGTGGTCAGGGAAATTTCTTTTTCTACTATACATAAAGGGTTTCAAAGGGCTTGACTTTTCAGCCAACCTTCTCCCTTTCCTCCTCTCAGTATCTGTCGGCCCCTGTGTCTGCTGACTGATACCACTTAAGTGATCATATTCCTCTAAGCAATAGGAAGGACCTTCCTGCCCATTGATTGCAGCCCACAAAACTGCTCTCCAGCTCAAAACCATGTCACGGAATAGCAGAGCACACACTGAGGATGTGCCTGCCTGGGATCCCTTTTCCATCAGCCAGATCATCTTGCTCATCTGAGACCTTGGCTGTTTCATCAATAGTCACCTTCCTTTGTAATCAAAGGAGCGACTGCTGACCACAATATCCACTGCAGGAGAAGGGTGAAGAGCCACTCTACTCCGGCAGCCATGGATCTCTCTTTACACATCTCTTTTCTTCTGGCCTGGCATAGTCAGAGCCAGGCCAGGTTGGAATGTCCTTTGGTATCTACAGTTGTAGTCAGGTGTACTCCACGAGTAGACATGAGCATTTAACATCCAGAATAGTGCTCTAAACAAAGGAAGTACAATGCCCAGAAGACCTTCCCTCCTATCCCTGTTTTCCATTCATTTTGGAAGCTCCCCACCCAGTGCCCAGCACAGCCATTAGGGAGGGAGGGGGGAGAAGTGTACAGGCCTTATGTAAAAGTGATCCATCCTGGCTTGGAGAGGCTTTCTCCTGCCAACCTCACGAAGCATCACTTCAAAATGCTCAACATTTATATTATGCTGTCCAGACCTTTTTCCTCAAGCAAAAAATAAAAATAAAATCATATATATATCCTCTTTGACCCAAGACTATAGGGTATGTCAAGGCCGCAAGGCCTCTGAAGGAACCCAGTCATGGCTGGCCCAATCTCGGGAGTTAGGAATGGAAGTTTCCTTGGGATGCTCCAATTTAAAATTCTACAGGTTAACACAGTCAGATAGAAGTATTAAGTTCCAGTGTGCTACAGCACAGTGAGGCAACTGGATCACCAATCATTTAGCATGTATTTTATGAATATCTAAAAGAGAGGAGCTCAGATGCTCTAACCACAAAGTCATAATAAAAGATGTGTACACACATTGTATACATGTATTGAAATATCACACTGTGCCTCATATATGTATTAATCAGAAATTTTTTAAAAAGCTTAAGGAGATGGAAATGCTAACTACTCTAATTTGATCTTCCACATTATATACATATTTCAAACTCACACACTGTACCCCATAAACATGTACAATTAAAATAGTAATAAGTTGATTTTTTTTTTAAATTCTAAAGGTCTCATCTTACAAACAGCTGTCTGGAATTATCCAAAGAGTTTTAAAATAATGCATATACAGGGTCAGGCCTCCCCATAAATAAGCAATGTCTTATCTGAGAAAATGGTGGTTTTTCTCCTGTGTTCTGCTAGCACTTAACTTAAAATAAGTAAACAGCAAAAGTAGAATGTCACTGTGTCTTACAGACCATAAATCTGAAGTGAACTGGAAGCTGCAGATTGACTTCCGCCTTCCTCATGCATCCACAAATTCTCCTCAGTCTCCAGATCTGCAGCCAGGAAATCTGTTCTTTTCAAAAAGTTTCAGTGCAGATGCTGACCACAGCCACAGTGGAACTTACGGGTTCCACTCAGATTCACATAACTGGACTGGTAGGTGGGTTCTATTGGAGCATGGGTTGAAATAATCCCTGTTTCTGGATCACCTTGAACCTTTAGCAGTTACCCAAGGACCACTGAATGCCCCTCAAAAACCACTGAGGGTTTTGCCAGTTTTGAAAACAAAGGAATAGCAAAAGATTTCAACGGAGAATCTGGGAACCTGTCATTTTTAAAAAACTACCTTAGAGGAAGCTACTGCAATGTTAGTCAGCAACATGTATAAAACCCATTGTCCCCTCTGGAGACAGAGGGACCAGTAGATGACACCTCTACGCTGCCAGGTGAAGCTGTTCCTCCACTCTTTCAAGGTGGAACCAGCAGAATGTCTGCCCATGAACCCTAATGGTTTTGCACTGACCACCATTTCTCACAATCCATGGAGCACATTTCCAAAGCAAATGGTCAAGGCCAAGGTCTGGGTTGGTAACTGTGGAGGGGAAGGAAGTGAGCTGCCCACACAAACCTGAGACCAGGTGACCAGGCACTTCCACACCCAAGCATCAAATTAATGGAGACCATGACTTTGTAAATGATCCCCTAAGGAATCGGAAAGAACAAACCCCAGACTTACTCTTCAGGAAAAACATTGATAATAACTCTATAAATTTTCACCCAAGCACGTCATTGTTTATGAAGTGTTTCTTTTTACTCTTGTCTTTGTATTTTTAGAAGTACGTTCTGCACACATTGCTCAGAGAGGTTAAGTAAGCTGTCTAAGGTCATACGGTTAGGAAGTGCCAAAACTAGAACATGAGAAAAAAAATAAAACTGCTGGCTTAATAGAAATCTGTGTTCTGTCTTTAGAAGAGAACAACTGAAAAGGAATCCTTCACTTAATTCATTTTATTGTTAATTGCACTTTGGAGACTTTTTGTTAAACTAATGGATCCTCAAATTTCTCATCACCTCATGAAATATGTGGGGTCTCACTGGGTGTCATCAGCCTTTTTCTCAGCTCCTGGTATGTATATGCTTGTCCTTTCTGGCCATGAAAAAAAAAAGACCTACTGTGCGCCAGCCACTGGACTAAGGTTCTTTGCAGTCTTTTTTCACAAACTATTCAAAAGATCATGTGCAGTAGGACCCATCAAGCTATCAGGATCAGGATCAGCCCCTGTTTTCTCAATAAACAAAACAGATTCAAATGATTTCTTGAAATGAAGGCCCCACCCTAGAAGGGAATGTAGGGCAACTTGGCCAGCGCCTTTCCGGGGACATTGTACCCATCTGCTGCTCATGAGCAGAAACAACAGAAGTGCACACACATTCCTACTGACTCATGTTCTTTTCATAGAAATCTATTGCAACAAGACATATAAAAAGACCATCTCACATAATATTGTAGATCATTATTTTATTATAGCCACTTTCTTCTGATTTTGTTTTCACCTCATGGCCGATAAATTGACCCAAGACCAGGGGGAGCACCTATTAGAAACAGGACATTCCTGAGCCTGAAAATGGCTTAAATCAACAATAATTAACATAATTGACCAAGTTGCTCAGTATTTATTTATGTCAAGCAGCTAAAGAAATAGCAGTGTACATAGGCTAGGCTGGACAAAAATCCATTAATAGCATTAATTATAATAACTAACCTTCTTTTAGTACACTCATCATTTCAAAATCTGAGACAAGTCCCGTAAAGTACTCTAAATGCAATTTAATCTCATGCAATCTTCATATTAACCCTGTTGGCTAGCTACTAATAGTATTCCTACATTTAGAAATAAGGGGTGGAAGGGTTGAGTAAGTCACCTGCAGTCATATGGTGCAAAGAGCTGTTTCAATCCAGGAAAACAACAAAAGCCACACTCCAAACAATTATGTCATTTTGCCTCAGAAGGAAAATTTCAGATTGCCAAATTATTTCTTCGGTACCACTTCCCCAGTTCACAAATCCTTAAGTTTCAGGCTCAGAATTATACAAGCACACTTCCTCCTAGATCACTGTGACATCCCACTTCCAGGCTGCTTGTTGAAGCATCCTCTATAATATTTCAGCACCTTTTCTTTTTTTTTGTTTTAGATTATATTTTAATTGACAAAATAACTGTATATATTTATGTAATACAGTATAACAATTTGATACATGTATACAATGTATAAACATTAATTCAAGGCAATTAGCCTTTTCCTTTCCTCAAACATTTGCTATATTTTTGCATTTGGATTACCCAAACTCTTCTTTTTTTTAGTTCTTTTATTTAAAAAAATAAATGACAGTGGAATATATTCCAATTCTTATTACATGTATACAGCACAATTTTTCATATCTCTGGTTGTATGTAAAGTATGTTGACACCAATTCGTATCTTCATACATGTACTTTGGATGATGATGGCTATTACATTCCACCATCCTTGCTAATCCTCTGCCCCCTCCCTTTCCCTCCCACCCCTCTGCCCTATCTAGAATTCATCAATTCCTCCCATGCTTCCCCAATATTTCAGCACCTTTTGGTAACAACAAATAGGGTAATGTTATTGTGGCAGGGGGTGGGAGGAATAATATGACCAAATGGTCATTAAAGTCCTTAAAACAAATAAACAAAAAGTTTTAAGAGAAAAATTTTCAAAAAAAAAAAAAACAAGTGTGTTGGGAGGAAGAGGAATGGTATTAGTGGGAAGGAGGAGAGAGCAGAAGGAGAGGTGGTAGGGAATGGAATTGACCAAGTTATATTATGTTCATGCATAAATGTCACAACAAATCTTGCTATTATGTATAATTATAATACAGCAATAAATTAATTTTAAAAACCCTTTTAAAACAGTGTCAGGAGTTTGGTGGTTTAGCTCAGTGGTACAGTACTTGCTTAGTGTACATGAGGCCCTGGGTTTGAACCCAGCACCAAAAAAAAAAAAAAAAAAAAAAAAAAAAAAAAAAAAAAAAAAAAAAAAAAAAAATCTTAAAAAATGTCATGCTCCCATGTTCAATCAGACTCTATGTCCTGAGAAAATACCATTTTTCATCAGATGTTAAAGCCCTTTTGGGTGAAAACTCTATCCCAGTTGTTTAAGTCATTTACAAGGCATTTTCAACCTAAAATATGAAAGCAATAAAAGCATGATACAGAATTAAAGATGAGATACTTAAAAATGACTTCTCAGTAAAACTTTCAAGAAACATAAAATTATAGGTGACTCACATTTCCACCCTTATGACTAAAAAGCAGCATTGGTCAATAGCAGGCAAGCAGACACTGTACAAAATTCCTGTGGTGTTCAGGGGCTTCTCTGAATTTGAAAAAAAATGCTTGCTCCTTTGAGTTAGCAGAAGTTTGAAAGCTTGAGAGCTTTGTGGTTGTCAGAAGCTATACAGCAAACCTAAAACACAGAATTAATTTGTATTCCAGAGGTTTTTGGTCTTTCTATGAAAATAAAACCAACCACAAAATCTCTTCAGATTCTTGAGGCTGCACGGCCTCATTAGAAACCAAAGCAAGAGTTCTCTTACAGAATTCTACCCAAAAACTGTTACAGTGAATGATGATTCTCAACCATGCCAATGTAGCAAGAAGAAAACTGCACTGCTTTTCTGCTCTTCTGAATGAACAAGCCCATTCTGGTCCCTCGACCTACAGTGAAAATTTTCTCTTGATGAAAACATGGGGGACCTGGCTTGATGTGGCTGCTCAAGGAGTTGGTACCTCCTTCCCCGGGAAACCTAGGACACTGGTTACTCCACTCAGCCAGAGCTGAGCAGCCTTCCTCCATGATGCATTGTTATGCAACAGTCAAGTGCTTCACACAGAAACTGCAATGTGGTTGTGACCTGACTTCATCAATGATATATGACATGTAACATCATAACTGTTTCTTGTACCTAGATTAGAAATATTTCCCAACTTAACAGCATGCCATGTGAATTTTAGGTAAAAAAAAAAAAAATGCTATGTCCACACTATGGATCTCAATCTCCTTGACACTGGGAGAATTAGGGTGAACTTTGATTCTATTAAATCTCCCAGGAATACCTATACACCTTACTTTACTTTCCCTTTCTTCTTTGAACAGGGCTAGATGTCTTTAGAGTTTCCCTGACAGTTCTTATGTTTATGTGACCCAAGTGAGAAGAATATTCCAGAAAAGAAGCTCCAGGAAGCCTCCCCCTTGTGGGAGATACTCCACAAGACGACTCATCATGGGGGTATTCATGGGCACATCCCACTACTTTGCCCTTCTGTCGCTGTTGGGTGAAATTAACTGACAGTATTCTTTCTCAACACTTTCTAGGATGTTTTTCTGTACCACAGAATCTGAGAGGCTACAAACTACATTTCCCAGATTCCCTTTCTGCTGAAGGTCCTAAAGATATTAACTGTCCCTGAAGCTATAAAGGTGGGAGTGAGGTAGAGGACTGACTGATGACCTTTGGCCCTGAGACTTATTTCCTGTGGTCATGATCCAGCACCCCATCTCCAGCTTCCTGAATGATCAGTGGCAGCCACAGGAGAGGCAGGAACCCAGTTCTCCTCCTGAGTGTCCATTGCCAGCCCACATGACCTGTTTCTGAATCTTACAGACCTGTGGTGATCTCCAGAATTCTGGCTTCTGGGATAGGCAGGAACCTTACTATGGATGGACCTGATTTTCAGGGTTCTTGGCTGGTGTCTGCTTCTGTAGTGCTTCCAACAAATGTGTGAGTACTCAATTCTCTAAAATACAGTCTTTCCTGTTTAAAATATTTAACATGGATTTTGTGTTCTGGTATGAACCCTGGCTAGCAAATAAAATAATGAGGACTACAAAATTCCACACCTGTCACATTTGATTGACTGTCCTGTGTTCAGTCAGTGCAGCACCAAGCTTGTATGCATTGCGTACTGTTCACATCATCAGACTTTTTTCAGTAACCATGGTTACCAAACATCGAAATCCCAGGGACCATCTTGGAAAATGTCCACCAGGAGATAATAATAAAGTTGATTTTATGGAGCATTGTATTAAACACTCAACAATACTCAATTTTTGTGGGAAAAAGCCAATGTCTTGGCCATCATCAGAAATACACTTACACATTTGTGAGCTTCATGTAGAAGCCACTTGACCTAAATATTTAGAGAGTCCCAAAGCAACCTAGAGCTAATCAAGTTTTGAAATTTGGTTTTTTCTTCTCAAAAGAGAGAGAAATAAAAAGGAATCAGGAATAAGCTAGTAATTTTTGAAAAAGTAATTTTGAGTTTTCAAAAAATCAGATAACAAGAAGCTAAGTGCTACCAATAATTAGCCTTAAAAGTCAGTAGAAATAATGTTATGCCAAAGCCTTGAGAAGGCCCCCCTGTGCCTTAGGGAGGAAAACCAAAAGGCTAATATGCTTCCGACAGCTGGGTCATTATAATGAGAAATAGTAGGTGCATCCTTCATTTCTATGGTGTAATAAACTAAATTAATTAAGGTAAAATGCTGCCTAAAAGGAACAAGAGATGGCAGATAAAGCTTCATTGTTGGGTGTTTATTTATGGACAGAGATTTTATTTCATCTTTATAATCCCAGAGCCTACCATTTTGCTGGGCAGAGAATACATATTTGATAAGGAAAAGATAGTGGGAGTCAATAAGAGAAGAAGGAGAAATAAATGTCTTAATTTGGAATTTATATTCATGCAAACTCCAAAGTACAGTGGAAGTTTCTTAAGAACTAAACATAGTTAAACAGAATAATTTAAACTAAAAACATAAGGAACGTTAAGTTTAGAAAAGAGATCTGAAATCATGCCAGTTCTCTGAGAACCAACAAAGACACAAAGGAGAAGAAGAAGATGAAGGAGAAGGAGAAGCCCACATCTTAGAGTGCACTTGGCTACCAGGCACTAGAAATAACAAACCAAGATTGGTGTGCTACTTGAGAAATTGATAAAAGAATCCTAAAATTTTCTAAACTTTGACAAGTTAAGACATAAACATACATTCAGCGGAAATTGATATATACTGAAAAAATAAAAATAAAAACATGTGCAATGTTGAAATTTTCGTTGCTTAACATAAAATCTGCCTTTCCAAATATGGTGTCTATTCATAAGAGGTCTAAATTACCTTCTGACTTTTAACAATCAATAAATATTTCTTAAAGTGGTACCCTGAAAACAAAACAGAATGAGTCAAGTACAGCTTCTAAGACAGCTTCCAAACTTGGTTAACAGCAGTAGCATCTGGTCCCTGCCCTCCATTCTCTGCCCCAGCCACCCTGGCTCCCTTCTGGATTCTCAGGGTGGGTTCCTTGCCTCCTACCTAGGGACATCCCATCCAGCGGTTCCCTCCTCTCCAACACACCTTACATGAACTCCTCCTACCTCTCTCTCTCCTCAGAGAAACCACCTTCCTATAGGAACCCTGAGAGTAATGACATGTCCTTCTCTGTATCTCCAGGACTGAGTAGAATGCAGTTTTCCCCTCTTCTTTCCACAATTTCAGTTACTCATGTTCAAAGAGGTGTGGAAATCCAGTACAATACAATGACATATTGACAGACCATATTCATATAACTTTTATTTCAACATGTTATTATAGTATCCTATTGTATTATTAACTATGGCAATATATTGTTATAGTTGTTTTATAATCGTTGTTGATCTTTTCCTATACCTAATTTATGAATCAAACTTTATCATAGCTATGATTATATATAAAAGCATAGTCTATACAGTTTTTAGCACTATCCTCAACTTCATGCCTCCACCAGAGTTTTTAGAATGTATCCCCTGAAGATAAGTGGGTGCATTACTCCTCTATTGTGATGTATGTAAGAAATAATAAAAAAAGAAAAGAAAAAAAAATGTTGTACAGAAGAAGGCCAAGGATGTTAACATAAATCATTTCATAGAGATTTCCGCCCCCCCCAAAAAAAAAATATAAGGGGGGACTGCTGTACCTGGTTCCTAATAACCTCTCAATAAATATATGCTAAAGGAGAGGATGAATAAAATGAAAGAACAAGAATTTTATTGGGGAATGGGAAGGTACTCCAGAATAAAGCAAGGTCTTAGCATAGGACAATGTCTGGCTCAGAGGGGTGTGCAGTGAGGTCTCAGGCAAACCAGAATGGGCTCCAGACACCTGGAAAATAACTCCAATGAGATGCTTTATGAATTTTACAGTTTGGACTAAAGCCCACTCTAGTTGGAACCCTAACCAAAATTGTATCAGCCTTCAAAGTCATAAATAAATCTAATCACGTTCCTAAAAACAGAATATACACAAAGGATCTTAGGTAAATTAGTTTTGTGAGGTTTTATGCTCAGAGCACCTTAAATGGATCTAGTTGTATAAAATATATCAAAATTCACTGCTGAATCTCCATTGAAGGTCGGGCTGATCCAGGAGTCAGAATACATCTAATGATGGGCTGTTATAATAAATGACAGAACTGTGACATGCAAATGATTCCTCATCCCTGGCTGTCCTCTCTATATTGTGTGGATGGTTTTGATGTGGTGTTTTAAAAAACTATTTTACATTTTAGATACAGGCATGCTATTTTCATCTGGTCCCCCTTGTTCAAAATAAAAAAGAGGAACACAAATTCTCTCAGTGCCCACCATAAAAATACAAGTGCTTGACAGTCATCCCTGGGAGGACTTCCCAAAAGACAGATTAGCTTTAAGAGAATCTAGAAGAAAAGGAATATGTGTTAGACTCCAAAGTCAAATGCCTAGAGACACATGAAAGTAAAAAGCTAGAATATAAAGACACATGTATTTAAAGAGCTGCTTGAAGGCTTAAACGGGAGCATTAAAAGGGAGCAATCTCCCAGGATTATGAAATTATTTCTGGTGTGGACCATGTAAGATATTAAATGAACCTGTGCTATTTTCTCTTTTTTAAAAATAAAGTGGCAAGATCAAGCAGAAAATATTGAATTTAAAAGGGGTTGTCTATGGCTGTGGCCGTCATTCACTTATTTTTTTTTTCCTAAAGCTCTCTCTTCCAAAAACAACTGCAAGCCCTCACAAATACACCAATATTCCATAAATAAAAAGCCACCAAAATAGACAGGAAGGGTAACTGGTACATGCCAAAAAGCTTCTCACCTCTCACACACAAGTTATTGTCTTAACAGAATTGGGTGATGTATGCTTTTGCCTGTCCAAACAACAGAATCAAGCCTCTACAAAATAGAAATGAGAGTTTAACCTGAACAGATGTTGTAGGGAGAGGGAGCTATTTGGTGACCAACAAGCACAGTTTCTGCGCTCAGGAATCAAAGTGACAGTCCTTTTGTTTGTAAATGTGCATTGCCTCATATCAAATATGGTGACACCCAAGACAAAGCTAAACTTTTGCATTTTCTGATCCATCTCTGGAATGTATGTGTGTGTGTGTGTGTGTGTGTGTGTGTACACATGCACATACATTCATATGGACACAATTAGCCATTCTTAAATATCAAAAAACACATCCCAGACTTGGTACAGACTTAACAGATAAGCATGGCATCTTGCAGTGTAAGTTTGTCTGTCTTCAGTCGGAGTGCAAGAATATCTATGCAAACAGCTTAATATTTCCCATAAAATGCCATAATAAAGACAGAGTCTATCGGTGGGACAGCCAGGTAATTTGAGTTGTGTGTGACATAATGGAAAAGAAGTGTGCAGATCACCCCCTGGGGACTTTTCATGCAGGTCACACATCTTTTGAAAACACTACTTCCTTTTAGGG